CCCCAAAACAATAGCACCACTCACAACAGCAACAGACAGGAAGGAAAATAGGATTAACAGCTCTGATTGCCGAGTCAATCAATGGCTGCCGAAGTATCTGAAGGCAATACTATCACGACAGACTGGCAAGCCAAAGGACTCAACATTATCAGCTGGAACGTCAATGGGCTGGGAAACGCACTGACAGAGGAAAATAAATCAAGAGACATTCGGCTAGGCTTGTACGATAAGAACATATCCAGACCAGATGTGATCCTACTCCAAGAAACACACCGATCGAATCTCACAAATCACGGTAATATAAGAAGAGCAATTGTAAAAAGTATGGGGGTTGTGCCTTCGCCCTATGGTCCAACCTAGAGGGGTTCAGCAAACAGGGGACAGCAATACTCACAACGCCTCCAAGCTATGGTCTGCAGATCAGATTCTCAGCAGCAAGGGAGACAATGTACAAGGCAGATGGTCATGGCTGGATATTTAGAGGGCAAGACGAGGAACTGAGAATCCTCAACATCTACGCACCCAACGCAGAAAACGATAGCCTTCTTCAGCAGCATCCAATCCCTCATCCCGAATCCCCAACCGGTGATCATCGCAGGTGATTGGAACATGCCCTGGATCCCAACCTCGACTGTATCTCTTGCTCCCTACTGATAGACTGACACAAGCCGGAACCCACATAAGGAACATCATGACAGAGTTCGACCCGATTGACCCCTTCAGAACGCTGCACCCAGAGACAAAGGCTTTCTCACTGGTAAAAAAGAACCAGGCCAACTGGATATCGTTGTCCCGTATTGACTTGTTGATCTCCAAGCACATCCAAGGAACAATCAAGCGGGTTGGGATCCGACCAACAGCTGCCTTCAGGGGGCTAGATCACAAACCTATTGAACTGCTCCTGAACATAACTCCCCACTGGAAACAGGACGTGGCTTCTACAGGCTGAACAACTCTCTCTTAGCCATTGAATGACTGACAAAAGCAGTCAGATGGAACTGGTTCTTCTTAAGGAAAAACAGTGCCAGATTGAACAACAGGTAACAATGGCATCGACAGCTACACAGACCTAACCCAAACAGCCTCTGCAGAATCCAGAAGTATAGCAGTTAAACAGGAAAAATCAGAAAAGAAGAACTCCAACTCGCTATATAACTCGCTGAAGATAACCTCGTTGCATACCAATCAAACACTTTTTACAGCCAATTACTTGAGCCGGCAAGAGATAAACTTAACGAATGGAGGAGGTGGGAGCTAAGAGGCTGCAGATACGTGCCAGGATGACCGATCACACCCTCAACAAATCCATGACAAAGTTCTTCTTTGCAAAAATTAAAGCGAATGCCATAAATAACAACATCAAAGGGTTGAAGGACCCTGACAATCAGAACAAAGTCGACCAATCAGGCCCAACGATAGTGAAGATAACCAGATCTTTCTACGCACACCTCTATGAATCCAACACACCCTTCCCCCCCACTTCAGCCAACTTAGCCGCACGACAACGAATGATAACCTACCTGGAAAGGACCATCGCACCAGAACAAACTAAAGGGTTAGACAGACCAATCTCAATGGGAGAACTACACACAACCCTGACTCAAATGGGCAACGACAAAACCCCGGGCATCGATGGACTGGTGAAATAATTCTTGGTCCACTTCTGGCCCACACTAACCTCAATTTTTTGAACGATAGCAGGGACAGAGGAGCGTTGGGCCAAATCCCGAGTACAGATGTAGTCTCGCTACTTTACAAGAAAGGCGAGAAAGAGTACTTGAAAAACTACAGACCTATCTCGTTACTTATGACCCCCTACAAAATCCTAGCGAAAGCACTGACCAATAGGATCATAAGCTTAACAGAAAAGTGCTTCCACATCGACCACTCCGGTTTCATCCTAGGCCGATGCATACTCGACAATATCGCATACCGTAAAGGTGCAGACCAGAACAAGAACCGACCTCTCTCACATAGTACAAGATAGCGCAGCGGAAGGCGAATATACCAATGATTCCACCAATCAATGTCGCAATGCAGACCAAACATACATCATCATCATCGCATGGTGGGAAGGGACCTGGCGCTTACATAGGAAAAATGTGCCAGTCCCAAACATACACAGACGAAGAGGAGGGGGGGGACTAGACGAAGAAGAAGGGAAGATGGGAATGTCGTCAACACCAAGTCTTTGGAACAGGTCCCAAATAATCCCTCGTCCAATGTCTCAATCCCAATGTCAAGTCTGAATTCAATGTCGTAAAGTCCCAAAGTCACCAATCTCTCTCTCTTGTAGTCTGCAGATACTGAGAAGTTAGGTAGCAAGAGGGTGAGGGAGAGATGGTGGACTTAGAAGAGGAAGAAAAACTCTCTCTCTCTCTCTCTCTCTCTCTCTCTCTCTCTCTCTCTCTCTCTCTCTCTCTCTCTCTCTCTCTCTCTCCTGTCTCTTATACACATCTAGATGTGTATAAGAGACAGGTGTGTGTGTGTGTGTGTGTGTGTGTGTGTGTGTGTCTATGAGTCCGGTACTACCCTTTGAAGGTGGCGCTTGGTTGGAGGTACATGGAGGACGAAGCTGGAGCTATGGCGCCACAGGTAAGTCTCCCTGGCCTCCGCCAACTCTCTCTCTCTCTCTCTCTCTCTCTCCAATGCTACTCTAGCTCCTAATAGTGCCCAGCGCTGAAGACTACTCCTAACGCGACTACTACTACTGCAGCGCTCTTCCAAAGTGCTGCTGCCGAATCTTGAAGACTGCCTCCTGCCTCCTACATGTGACGTGCCCATGAACTGCCTGGGAAGTCCCTATGAACTACCTGCAGCCCGCAGGGCGGGCCAGTTCTATATAGTGCTGGCCCGTCCGGGAGGCTGCTCTTGCCAACGCCGAAACGTGCCAGACCCTGGCGTTGAAGTTCAAACAAACGTTGTCTTGAAACAGGCCCAAAAATGGCCTGTGCTAAACCCTGGTCTGGCGCATGAGTCTCAGGGCAGGTCGACTTTATGAGGTCCTGCAAATGACCCTCGTTTTCTGGCTTTCAGGCTGAAACGACACAGGGCCTATAGGGCCCTTATTTTCCGTCTGGTCGGGCCCTGCAGGCCCGTGTGGCTGCGCAGTATGCCACACCCCCCCCTCCTTGAAAGACCGCGCTTACCTGCGATGGCGAAGCTGCTTGTCTGAGGGAGGGACCAAAGTCCGGGTGGGAGGGGCAGGTCGTGAAGCTTCCTTAGCTAACCTTTGTCGTTCATAGTGAGCGGAGATCATCGGTGCGGATGCTTTCAAATCTGCTCCTGAAATCCATCGAGTGTCGTCGGGATCGCATGCTTTGAAGGTAACTTTGTGCTATCGAGGCTTGCTGTCGTACTTGCGATCCGTGATGACACGGTCAACTTCCTGATGACCATCCATAGATGGAGGGTCTTGCGATCGTCGGCCCGAGAAGTCGTCGCTCTTAGCTGGTGTGTATGTCGCCAGCTTCGAGGTGTGAAAACCTGGATGGACCGTCAGATGCGGGGGGATGTTGATCACAAATGAGGGGCCGTTGGCTCATCGCCCGCGGCTGATGTTACGGGCCATGGTCCAAACCACCTGGGAAGTAGTTTGCCCGAAACATCCTATTCGAGTGCAAACTCTTCTGCCGAGACCCAAACCAGATCACCGGCACGGATGGGACATGGCACACGACGCTTGTTGGCTTGCCGCTGCATGCGGACTTGAGCCTTTTGCATGTTCGCGCGGGCTTGAGCCAGCAATTCCCTGTACTTCCGGACGAAAGCGGGAGAGCAAGCGGCGTCTATGTCCGTTGTTCGTGGAAGGAGAAGATCAGCGAAGATACGGCCTTTCCGGCCACCGTGGTGCAACTCAAATGGAGTCAAGCCGATCGCCGGATGCAATGAAGTGTTGTAGGTGAACTCTATGTCGGAGAGGCAGTCAACCCAATCCGTCTAATCCAGACAGATGAGCGTACGAAGCATCATTTGAGTGGTTTGATGTGCCCGCTCCGTTTGCCCGTCCGTTTGTGGATGTCGAGCCGAACTTGGTTTAATCTTTGTGTCGGATTCCTGCATGAGAGAAGTCCAGAATGCCGACATGAAACGAGTGTCGTGGTCGCTAATGACGTCTTCCGGTACGCCGTGGCTGCAAATCCAGCCAGTGTGCAAGAGGCGCGCAAGTTCGGGAGCCGTGGCGTAGTACTTGCAAGGGAGAAACCGCACGTACTTACTCAAACGGTCAACGACTGTGAGGATGTCGTCGTGCCCGAGGCGGTCGCGGTGGAACGGACCGGTGACGTCCATGGCAATGGAGAGGTCGGGTTCCCGTGGGATAGGCAACGGCCGCACTCGCCGTAGGGATTGCGGTTGCGGGGCTTGCTTCATCGACAAACTTCGCAAGAGTCGCAATACCGAGTGACATCGGTAATGAGGTCGGGCCACTGGGATCGTTGCCGAAGTCGTGCAATAGTGCGATTGACTCCGAAATGGCCGGCGAGTCGCGAGTCATGGTAGTCGCCGAGAAGGCGAGTCCGAAGACGACGGTCTCGTGGGACACACAATAAGTCCTTGCCTCGCGAGTGGAGGAGCAAGTACCCGTCGACGATGCGATAGTGGTTGGTCGGTGGGTGATCCGAAGATAGCTGCGCATATAGCGTGGTGAAATCTGGATCGGACTCATAGCCCCGGATGAAGTGTCGCTGGAGTTGCTTGTCGACCGCGAAGGCATGATGTGTCATAGCGCAAAGATCGGGTCTTCGCGAGAGTGCATCTGCTGTGCGATTGGAGAGGTCGGCGAGATGTTTCGGTGTGAAGTCAAATTGGTCGATGAAGTACATCCATCGTCCAATCGTGCTTCTCACCGTATCTTGCGTCTTGTAGTAGGTCAACGGGTTGTTCTCAGTGACCCATGTGAACCTACGACGCCCAAGGAGGAAGTGCCGCCATCGCTTGAAAGCCATCACGAACACGAGCAGCTCCTTTTCCCTTGCATCATCAAGTGAATTGATGGGAGGCACTTTGTGGCTGAAATACTCCACGGGGTGTCAGTCATCACCGTCATGTTGTTCCAAGACTGCCCCAATGCCATAGCCGGAAGCGTCAGTTGTCACTCTCCCGTTGGCAAGGTGGGGTCGTAGATGTTAAGGACGGGTGCCATGAGCATGGTCATCTTGAGTGCTTGGAATGACCGGCGCGCGTCGTCATCGAATAGTAATAGCACCTCTGGCCATTGTAATATCGTCAAAGGGGCTGCAATCCTTGAGTACTCGATGATGAAGCGTTGATAGTAGCCCGCAAATCCCATGAATGAGCAAACGTCCGTGGTGTTGGTGGGCTCGGGCCATACGCAGATGGCCTCGATCTTGTCCGCGAGCGGCCGAATCCCTTGCGGCGTCACAAAATGGCCCAAGTACTCGAGCTCTTGCCGCGTGAATTCGCATTTATCGTCGTTGGCTTTGTACTTGGATTGTCGTAGATGTTCCAAAACGGTGCGCAGGTGCTCCGCATGCTCGTCCAAACTTCGGTTGTACATCAAGATATCGTCGAGGTAGATGAGTACAAATCTATCCAGCATGTGTTGGAACTTCGTTGTAATAGCCGCCTGGAACGTGGTCGGGGCATTCGTAAGGCCAAAAGGCATAACCAGCCATTCGAAATGCCCATACCGTGTCTTAAATGCGGTGTTGTAGCGGTCCTCCTGCCGGATCTCGAGTTGGTGATGTCCCAATTTGAGGTCAAGCTTGGAGAAGAACTTGGCGGCGCCCAACCGTTCGAGAAGGTTGTTGATGCGCGGAAAAGGGCCGACTTTCTTGACGGTTTGCGTGTGGAGCGTGTGATAATCGATGCACAAGCGGAAATCCTTGTTCTTCTTCCGGACGAAGAGAACGGGAGAACCGTATGGCGAAGAGCTAGGCTGAATCCAGCCTTTCTCAAGAAGGTCGTCGAGTTGTGCCCGTAGCACACTTAACTCTTCCTCGCTCATGCGGTAGATGCAACCACACGGAGGTACGGCCCTGGCCTCGAGGATGATCTCGTGGCGGATGGGTCGATCCGGTACTACTCCGTGTGGGGCTTCGAACAGGTCGCTGTAGGCGTCAAGAAGCTCGGTGATGTGTGGATCCGTTGATGCGTCCGTCAATGAGATGTCATGGGGCAGGAGGGCGTGGAGAAAACTAACACCCATCTCCTCGATGCCGTCTCGGGTGATGGAAGCTCGAATGCTCGTGACAGACACCACGTGACAGTTGATCAAAGGGTGAGGTGGAGGCACCGTGCATGGGACTAGTACTCTGTTCCGATAAAGAACGTGAACGGTGTGGCGGTAGAAGTTCATCAGGTGATCCTCGCTTCGCAGCCATGACATGCCCAAAATCATGTCGAATTGGGTGTTTGAAATGTTGAAGGACACGGCCTCGCTTGCATGCGGGGCGAAGTACACGAGGATGGAATCAATGCACCAGTCGATTGACTTATGTGTGTAACGGTCGGCCAACGTGACTTGCGTGGGCTGCGACTTCCTCCGAATGTGTGACCCCAGGCCAACGCGTACCATAAAGTCTTGGCTGATATAGTTGCGAGTAGCTCCGCAATCGATCAAAGTGTTGCAGGTCACCTCTCCGATCTGAATGCGTATGTACAACAATGACGCGTCGATGTGGTCGTACTGTTGTGTCTTGAACTCGCGGTCGATCTTCACAACGTAGTCGTGGAGGTCAACAACCTCTACTCCGGCGTCCATCAACGGAGCTTGTACTGTAGTGTGCAAGTAATCCCGCAATTGTGCCATGAGCAGGTTGCAATGCGGTTTCAGGAATTGCCTGGTTGGGGGAAGGGGCATCCATTGGAAATCCGCAAACGTCAACGGGTCGAGTTCTTGAAGTCTTGACCATGACATCGAATCCCCGACGATAGTTGGCGGTGGGGCTGCCGAATCGGTCGCCGATGGTGGTGAAACCGTTCACGCGGTGGATTGTTGCACCTGGAGTGGTTGGTCCAACGGTGGGACCAAGTGGACAGCGTAATCCTTGTAAGTGAACCAAGGACTCGCGACATCCGCATTCTCCCCAGATGTGTAGGAGGCCGCTAGCAAGGCGGCCAATCTGGCGGAGTGAGAGGTGGAGTCGCCTCACCTCCTGTGCAACTCAGTTTCCCGAGCTCATTCAAGGTCGAACATCCTCGTTGCCGTGATCCTGGCATTGGGAGGTCTTGTGCTTGGTGATGTTGCACCAATAGGAGCAGCCATACCGGTTGCGCCACTTGCATTCGGCCTCGGTCAAGTTAAACATGACCCATGGTACTGGCTGTCCAATTCTGGCCGGCGATGCGGTTTTCGCCTTCCCTTTTTCACGGGAGTTGTTGTTGCTTCGCGGCTGGACAACGGCCACCTGATCTCCCTCACGTGATGCTAGGGTGGCTGTCGGGTCTTCCACAATGATGTCCAGTTGGACTGCAGCGACTTGCTGCGGACGCGGACCAAATTTTGCGGACCAAATTTTCCTTTCTCCACATTGACTGGCTGCCACGCTGGCTTCTCGTGTGCAGCAGTCCGGTTGGTCTTGACGATCTCTCGCGCCTTGTTGATGATTTTGGCGAAGGTTGTGTACTGCTCGCGATCACCGAGTGCGAGGCTCAAGGCGGCACACGACCGTTTGTAGAACTCCCGGTGCAGATGCGGAAATGGCAAGTCAAGATCGGGTGTTGGCACAATCTTTTGCCACTCCGTGAGCCAGTCACGTGTTGGCGTGGTGCCTTGAGTCATGCTGAAGAGGCAGTTGATGGCGAGCGTCGGGGCATCGTCCGCGATGAACCGCTTCTTCCATTGTCTCGTCTGATCTTCCCAAGAGATCTTCTGTAGATCGACGACCTGGACGTCGTGGATGGTTGCTAGGTGGCTGAGCCAGATCTGGCATCCATCCTTTGAGTTGATGAACAGCGTGCCGATGTACGAGTGCTCGGGGACGTGATAAATTCGCAGTTTCGTCGTAAAGCCCTCCCACGGGGGACAGGGTCGTGATGCGCATAGTCATCAAACTTTTCGATCCGGAATATCGGCATTTTGTATTGCTGCGCACTGGTGTTGCCATCCTTGTCGCAAGTTGTCGGGCAGCTGGTGCACTTTCTGAACCTCGTTCTTTAAGGTGTCAAGCTGCTCGCTTATGGTGCCGGGTGCGGCGAAGGTGCTGATGTCGCCGAGCATTGTGACTGCATAGTCAACTCGTTCCTCCAATTGGCGGGTTGAGGCTGCACTGTTGGGTGCCAACATCTGATCCTGGTGCCGCTTGCTCCAAGTCCTGAACACGGGAATTGAGTACCCGTGTGGCATACTCGTGCAGATCCTTGTGGTTTTGTACTGCAAGCTGCTCGCTGATGGTGGCGGGTGCGGCGAAGGTGCTGATGTCGCCGAGCATTGCGACTACATGGTCAACTCATTCCTCCAATTGGCAGGTTGAGGCTGCACTGTTGGGTTCGCCAACATCTGATCCTGGTGCCGCTTGCTCCAAGTCCTGAACATCGGAATTGAGTGCCCGTGTGGCATCCTCGTGTAGATCCTTGTGGTTTTGTACTGCCTTTGGAGATTCGTCAGTTCCTCGTGCTGCTTCTCTAACTCGGACTGCAGGTGGCTACAAGTGTAAACCAACCGGGTCACGAGGTTGGAGAGGAACTCCTTGTGCTGCTCTTCCGGTGTTGCATCGTCGTGGCCCTCGGATGGCTCAAAATGCCAGAACTTGAGCTTGTCGACGCTGGCGGCTTCGTGCCGCTGCAGCAGATCCTGGGCCTCCTTGCGGCTGGCCTGGGCATCTGCATCAGCTTCGGCCTGAAGCCGATGCTTTTCAGCCTGTAGGCGGGCAGCCTCGGCTGCCGCCTGGCGCTGTTCCTCAGCCTCGATTAGTGCGAGCTGAGCTTGGAACCACTGTCGGTACTCGGCAATGGACTCGTTGGCCATTTGGCCTGGCATGCCCAAAGCTGGAACCGTCATGGTGGCGGGGCACTGCTGACGTTGGTACTGATGCTGTCGTCGCACTGCTGACGTGGCACTGTTGCTGACATGGCACTGCTACTGACATGGCACTGTTGACGTGGCACTGCTGCTGATGTGGCACTGCTGACGTTGTGGCACTGCTGACGTGGCACTTACCAAACCGGGAATGCAGGCAGAGGGTTGGGTGGGAGGGAAAACGCAGGAAGGTAACCAACCAAACTGTACTTTCATCCCGGTCCTAATCAACAGAATGAAATAAATAAAAATAAAATAAAAGAAGAGGATCGCCCCCCCCTCTTTTCTTTTTTTTTGTATATCTGTCGATCTGCTATGAGTGAGGCATTTCAGAGAGGTACTATGAGCGAGATCTAGGCAAGGTTTCGCAAAGTTTCGGCCTTCAAAATCGCAATCTTGGAAAAAAAAAAATTGTGAGAAATAGTCTGGAGGTTCCACTTTCAGAGAAGAATAGATCCAGTCCGAGAATATGACAACCTCCCTAGTTCACCTAATATGCCCAGAGTAAAACAGAAAACGAAATGCTAATATCCGAAGTTGCAAAAGAGAAGAATTTTTTTGTGCAGAGATTTGACGAAGTCCTACTTGATTCACTAATAATCAATCAATCAATCAATCAATCAATCAATCAATCAATCAATCAACAATCGGTCGATCAAGAAAGCTGGCTTCTTGATTGGGCGGATCCTCTGATTGAGAGGTCCGCTCTGATACCGAACCGTAAAGGTGCAGACCAGAACAAGAACCGACCTCTCTCACATAGTACAACATAGCGCAGCGAAAGGCGAATATACCAATGATCCGACCAATCAATGTCACAATGTAGACCAAACATACATCATCATCATCGCATGGTGGGAAGGGACCTGGCACTTACACAGGAAGAATGTGCCAGTCCCAAACATACACAGATGAATAGGAGGGGGGGGGACTAGAAGAAGAAGGGAAGATGGGAATGTCGTCAACACCAAGTCTTCGGAACAGGTCCCAAATAATCCCTCGTCCAATGTCTCAATCCCAATGTCGAGTCTGAATCCAATGTCGTC